TGGCTGCTCGCAATAACAAATGCACTTTTGTGGCGTGATAGGTGGTGTCCTAGCAGTGCTTGAGCTTTCCTGACGCCAAGTAAATTAAGATGAGCATTCTCATCAACAGCGTTGTCTGGCCAAGTGCCATTCTTGCCCACATATGAGCCCTACCTCTCCTGCAATGTTATCCCGCGATGAATGAACACGGATGAATGTATATGCCCCGTCCATCTAACGAAATCACGCGCATTGCTATGGGAAGGGCAACAGTGTTTTTGATGTCCGCGTTATTTCATATATTTGTATTGGTAGACACTGGGTTGCCTTGAAAGTAGTCACCAGCGCATTTGACGTGATGTGATGACATGTATATGTGCACTGGCCAACGGAGAAAAATGGTAATGAAAACGACCGGATAACGCCACCGCTCACAAACGCACAGCCTACACCATCAGAAGTTCTAGATCCGTCCGTGTAAGTATGTGTATATCCCGATATAACGCTAAACGCTCAAGCGCTCTGGACCTCATTATATCTGGCAGCGAGACACTCTTTTTCATTTCAGTCAGTGATGTGTCTGTGAAGGGAGAGATCAAATTCCAGGGGGGAGTGCACAGATGACCTGATCGCTTCACCTTTCGAATAGGAATTACGTTTTCCCGCGGTAAGGCTTGTATCCGGCAGCCAAAGGTCACAGCATGCGCCCGAGGTGCATTGCGAACGAACGGCACAGCAGGCCGCGGAAAGAATGCGTGATATGCGGGATGCCACGGGAAATGTCGCAGCCTAAGTGCGTAACGCATGGCGAGCATTTTCCTCCTCGCTGACAACGGCGGCTCGTACGATTCTACCAAGAGGCTTCGGGTTGGAGATGTACGGAACGCCCCTGTCATGGCACGTATAGTAGTGTGATGGATAGTGTCAATGATGCGTTTGGTGGATTCACACGCGCTGTCATAAATAAAACATGCGTAGTCCAGCTTAGAGCGTATGATGGCCAAATACAGCAGCAAAAGCGTGCTCCGATCTCCGCCATACGATGTGCGCAAAACACATTTCAATGCGTTCAAAGATTTAATCAGCTGATATTGACACGGTTTTTCATGCTTGCCAGTCTCATCCCGAACAGTATACGTAAATCCCTTGACTGTCATGGCCCTGCTTGTCTCCAGACCACTCGCGAACTCTACCTCTATTTTCCCATCCCTGAGCTCATCACATCTGGTGATTTTTCCAAACCTGTCGCAGCCGTTCCGCCTCTGAAACAGTGAGAGGGAAGCCAGCTTAATCCCATCACTTCCGAAGATCAGGATCCGTGGACCGGGGGGCGCAGATCCTTCTCTGCACCCTGGGGCTATCGAGGTCCGTCCCCCTTTCGGAGGACGGGTGTTTTTAAGGTGAGAAGAAGCCATAAAGGGTGGTTTTCATTTCGGCACCGGGGCTCCCCACCCACCTCGGAGCCCAACTGGGGGACGGCCCATCACTCCCTCGGGAGGTGGTCACCGCCAGGGCTACCCCGGTGCTATACGGGGCGAACGACGCCTCCCACACGGCCAGGTAAAACCGGGGAGACCCCTCCCCGTCCTGACCGTGGTTCACCGCCGCCGCCCCTTAACCCCTTAAACCGCTACGCGCGGCCAGGCGCCTCAAGCGGAAACCCGCAAGGAGCACCCAACCGCAGCGCAAGCGACAAGCCGCTAGACCCGTGTGGTGATCCACGGGCCCCCCGCGCCCCCGAATATTCTGGCCGAAGTGGAGTGTTGGGACGCGTCGCGACTGACCCGCACGACGCGCTCCTCAGCCACCAGCATCCGATCAACCCGGGGACACGGGCGAGGGGGCACGGCGACCCCGATAAAACGAGGATTAAGATTGACGGGTGGGCCGGATGCGGGAAAACGGGTAATGAGAGGGGAGCGGGCGGGACAATGGGCGGGATCTCACGTACCGGCAGGTCGCTACGCCCTGAGAGGAACAGCTTGCGCTGTCCACCCGTTACCGGAGCTGGGACCCGAGGGGCGCTAGTCCCCTACACCGGCTGAAGCCGGTGCCCCTGAATGAAATGCTTTTTCACCCCTGGCTTTGTTTTTGCTTTCTGATAAGCCGTCGCGGCAGAATAATGCAGTTCGCTGCAGTCTGAAGAACCTAAAACATCGCTGACTAATATGAAAATACTCAGACAGCAGTACAAAACTAAGTCAGAGTCAACGGGACACACTAATCTTTTAATTAGAAACATGCAGTTTGAAGGAAGAACAGAAGAAAACCCCAAGTAAACAAAGTACGAACGTGAACCTTTTAAGCAGTGTCTGGCTCGCGCAGCTATGCTTATCTGAACATGACATCTTAGTTTGCACTTTCCTTGTTCCTTTTACCTGTGAAACGGTTAGTAGGAACCTTGTTTGAAATTGATATAATCTTGAGCTCCCATTTTTAACGCCCCGCTAGTAGTTAGGGTCCAGAAGGCTGGGGGGGGGGGGGGGCAAACTCACCGTTAGGGGTGGGGGGCAAATTGGACATAAAGGGTGGGGGGGGGGGGGAGGGGGGCAGTGGCTCATCCAAAAGAATACAAATAGATGCCAGTGGTGGGAATTTGACTAAAGCCGCACAATTGAACGGACTTATAGTATGACTGTGCAATTCGCTAACCTCGCCCAACAACGTTGCCAGTTGAGCTTCAAGTTCATTTCAAGAAGTCTTACGACTTTTACGCGGCAACTCCACTTCGCACCCGTAGCGGTGCATGTTGTTAACGTTCTGTATCACTGCAGTCCAGCCGGGCCTGCACCCCAATTACGAAAACTTCTCTCACTTGGTACCTTGCGACAGATTTTAGCCAGGATTGGCGCCTTTGCATCTACAGAATGAGCACACCGGCCTGACTCACTTGTGGTACGTCTACACTCCGCAAGGTAGCTTTGTTGACTGATGGGCATACATCTAAAAAGAGTACGCCACATTTTTATGGGGTTTTGAACTGAAATAGCCGTCTTGAATATCATTCGGTACAGTTAGCAGCAATGTCCTTCTTAAGACCTAAAGCCCTGTGGTTCATGAGCTACACATTCGCAAAAATGTGCAGACTATTTCGTGAAGACTTTTGCAAGGTCACTCACGCATGCATGACGCGATAGAGATTTCATTCAAATAGTGGAGCATTCCCTTTAAAGGGAATGTCCTCATTCGAAGGTTTTGAGGCATGCATCAGATATGATGGAAAAGGCTAGCCTGCGATTATCGGTATGCTTTAAAGTGCAAAAGGCCGCCGTAGAAATCAAAATTCCACTGCTAAGTAAGTATTCTCTTCAACACATCATCGTTTGATTACGTCATGGAACATCTTTATGACGCCGAAGTGACTGTCAGACTGGCTGCGTCAGAACTGCCACTGTAGCGGACGAGTTGGCTCACTTGTGCTTCCACTTGCTGCAAGGTGGTGTGCTAATTGCTACATATGACCTATCTTATGACCTATATGACCTATATGACTATCGTTATGGGTGCCTGTTGTGACCCCTTCTCTCGGTGTTATTGCGTCTTTGTCCGTGATGGCATGTTTTCAATGTGTATTAGGTTTCTCGGCACGGCGCTTCTCCTACGTCATTCGATTTCCAGCCCCATTTCCGTGATAACCAGTAGCACTGTCTAAATACCTGTTTTCTGTATCACAAAACGCAGGTTGTGTTCGAAACTTGTATTTGACACGCTAATCTGGTTGAAAGCTAACTGTTGTTCGTTGATGCGCCGATTCGTGCTGACGAACTTGAGATATAACTGAATCAATGGCCGTATTTGTCTTGGCCTTAAAAACAATGTTTCCATTGAAGATGCGGAACTGGTGTGACCTTTCTATGGCGCCATGATCTCTGGTTGAGTTCAAATAAGGTGGCACGAAATAGTATGTACAAGTTCACGTACCCATTGTTCAGAAAGGATTTAAAGCCTTAAAAAGGGCGTAATTGTGAACTTAAGAAATGCTCTTGAATATCGCTATCTTAGTTTGAGGCCACATACAAATGTGGAACAGTCCCATTAAAGGGAATGTACCATATTTGAAGATGTTGAGACAAGCATCAGATGTGATTAAATAAGCTTCTTGTAATATTGGTATGTCTTAAAGTGCAAAAGGCCACTCGAGACAACAATGATTTCACTATGTGGTACATATGTTCCTCAATACGTCATGATTTGATTGCGTCATCGAACGCATGTATGACGTACGAGTGGCTGCCAAACTGCACGTATGGAATTATTGGAGCAGCAGACAGGCTGGCACACGTATTTGCAGAACCCAAACGCGCGTACGTATATTTTAGCCTTTTCGTGATATTCTAGCATATCTATCTGTCCGTGATTTTATGTTGTTGACTTGCATTCACATGCTCGGTTATGGCGCCGTGCTGAAATTATTCGATTGCCAGTCTTGTTTCCGTCACAATTCAGTATCATTGCCCAAATTCCTACATGATGTGGTACAAAACGTGATGCGCATTCGTCAGTTGCCCTAAACACATTACATTGGTTGAGGGCTGACTGCAGAATTTTTGTCTCCTGAAATCCGGTGATGCCATGAATTCTGCTGACGCACGCTAGATACGAGTACCTCTCCATGGCATTACTTTGCTTGGCCTTGAGCAATACACAGCCAATGAGGTGGCAATGTGGGATGTTCGTCACGGAAGTGTTATCCCATCTTGTCAATGTTTTTACACGTTCCTTTTTTGTTCCCTCACAATATGCAGCTAGAGCTCTGGTTTTGGAATCCTATAAGAAGTCAATGCTTTGAACGTTTGTATGGCCAATCAGTCCGAAACAAGTGAGTTTTGATGGACCAATATCAACACTGCAACATTCTGGTAGGAGTCACTGTAGACAATGCCACATTCGTCACTCCGCATTTCCGACCCATGATTGAGTCTCATGAGCTGTGTTGAGGCGGAGGTGGTCTTGAATCCTCGTTTCCATCTGCCCCTGATCGTTTTGCGAAAGTCCAACCAGATAAGAAATATGTGTGGATATTCGTTCTTAACATGCAGCAAGCACAATACAACACTTCGGCTCACTGACGGCACATGACAGGTTTCTCAGGGCAAAGTCATGCATATGACAGAAACACTTCTACCAACAATCTGTAGCTAACAGTCGGCTTACACAGCACAACACTTGGTAACAAATCATTTCCGTTCAATACGACAGGCCATCTTGAACTTGGAAGTTTGGACCTTAAACACAAGGTCAAAAAAGCTCATTTTAAGGCTCGTTCCCACCTTTCGAACTGGTTGCAGAATCCCCTGCAGGTCCTGCAGTAGTCTGCCGTTGCGCACTAGGGTTGCCGCATGTAAGCCCGCAGGCTTGCAAAGCGCCGCTAAAAAGAGCTCACAAGAGGAACTTCTATCCCTAGCACCTGACGACTCGACGTTTTTTTAGACCAGCACCTCAGCTACATTCGGTGTTTTCCAGGATGCCTTGGACAAGGAAACTGCCTTTTTTGAGCTCGTCATACCGCGGTCAACAAACCTTCCGTCCTAAATGTGGCACCTCTAGTCCACCACAACTGACAGCTGCAAAATATGCGCGTATTCTGCATTCTGTAATCTGAGCGGATTTTGCAGCCAGTCCTCAAGGTGTAAACGGGGCTTAACTTGATGCCGGACTCATTTAATTCACACAGCATCGGAGTGACTTTCATCTCTGGTGAGTCCCACAATGGTTCCAGTCACGCGCTCACTGGTCCACAGATGGCAGCACGGGGTGAAACCCCCCACACCACGTTACAAAGCCTCCCACAGATGGTAGCAGCAGCCGACAGAACTCCTAGCTTCTCCTCGCGCTCACAGATGGCAGTGGCGGCGGCGGGGCCACCAGCGGCCTGCCGCTGCACCGCGCCCCGCCCAGATCCACCAGCGTGTTGACGAGCGCCTGCGTGGAGTGCGTCAGGAAGGGCAGGTTGTCGGCGTTGGCGTGATGCATGACGCGCGCGCTGTCGCACTCGGCGTGATAGCAGCGCGCCATCACGCCCCGGAACGGCCCCGTGTCGGTCAGCAGCACGGCTGGGATGGTGCTCGGAGCGGCCGTCTGGTTGGTGCCGCGCGACACGTACCTGACGGGTGAGGGCGAGGTCATGGCAAAGGTCGCAGACAGGGCTCAGACGGGTAGACGGGTGCTGAGGGCGAAATAGGCTCGTGTCCTCTATGAAACACCCCACGCATGCCCTAACGTCTGGCAGCTTTTTGCCGGTAATTGTCCCGCGTCGCAATGCAGTCACAAACACAATCAGGTACTCGAAAGGATAAGCTTGTAAATGTCTAGCTGGTTTGTGTTCCGATTGCCATTTGCTTTCACCAACCAGACCAGGGTAGAAGCTCAAAAGCATCACACTTCCACCCGAAACAACACTGCTGGGACCTACCTGAAGGCATACTTGCAACAAGGCTAAAACCAACGTCGTGATCCTTATAACGTTACAAGACATACATGGTGTATACGGTCACATGTCTTCATCCTCCCACTATATCCAAAACGCAGTCTTCCCGCGCCGCCTCACCAGAACCGGCTGTGGTCTGAGCGCATGACGTCCATGTGGTTGAAGAGCACGTCGTCCGAGGGCCTCTCGGCCGGCAGGTCGACGTCGAACCGCTCGACGCGGAAGCGGTCCAGCTGGCCTAGCCGCTGGTAGTGGTAGATGTAAGCGTCCGCCAGGTGCTTGTCCACGTGTCGCCGGTAGATGGCGGCCAGGAAGTCGCCCCGGGCGTCGTTCTCATCCAGCCGCTGAATGGTGTCCAGCATCTGTCGCAGGAGGTGCTGGGGGCTCAGCTATCTCGAGAGGGATGAACTCATCGTGAAATCGTGAAATGCTCGTGGTATCGCCTAAGCAGAGGTTGGAGCGAGGAAACAAGAAATGAAATAGCTATCTTAGAGGTTATTCGGAACAGCTCGCAGCTCTGCTCTTCTTTAGACTTAAACCCATCTAGTTTCTAAGCTACACGTCCGCGAAGATATACAGACTATTTCGGGAGACCATTTCGGGGTCCATCCAGGCATCCATAACGCCATCATTAGGGCATTTTAATCGTGCCATTCCATTGGCTACGCCAGATGTATCCTGCCATTAAGTTGGCTAATGCAAATATAATCATCGAGTCGTTCATATCCCGGTTCTTGAGCACAATTTCCAGATACAATGTCCATCCATTGGCTCTTAATCATCGTTGTGCAATGCACGATGACGCAAGCCAACAATGACGTATCAGGGAATATATTTACCAAACAGGGAAATTGCGTTGTCTAGAGCAGCCTTTTCCACTAAAAATCATACCGATAGTTATATGTGGGCTTATCTTATCACATCTGATTCTCGCTTTGATATCTCCACCTGTGGAGTTTGGCTTTAACAATCCCTTTAAGTGTTATTCCAACCCTCCACGTACAGATACGAACGGAGTACCCTACGTTCCTGTGTGGTGGTGTCGAAATGTTTCGTTTTTTCACGGGTGCCTGCGCATAGCGTGCGTTGTAAATCAAAACAGCGGGCTGTAAGTCCACCTTGACAACTTTAATGCGTGAGAAAAAGGTTTCAAATAGATCTTCATAAAAGGAGCGTTAAACCCGATCCCATGCCGCGCCTACTTACCAAAAAAGAAGAAAAAAGAATCGCCAACAGACCCTATATGAGTGCTTTTTTGGCTCGGCTCCGCGCATTACAAAAAACTGTCGGAATTCGAATACAGCACCGCCATGTTCCGGGTCTTATAGCACCATTTCAATGTCAGAGCTTCGCAGAAATATGACAGCGTGCAGAGAGAATTCCTTGTAAGGTTTGGGCTGCTGAGCACCTGAGCCACGCCCGGACACTTCCAGACTAAGGGATTAAGGAGAGAGTCGAGAGGTCGCGCCCCACCCATCTACTGTCGATACTGCGCTCTGCTGCTATCTTGGACTGCCATCGCTAGCCGTAGTCTGCACAGGGCACTGACACCGAGGCGAGTGCAGGCGTTGGTCGTGTCTCACATTCAGGTGGTCGTGAGACCGATTGATTGTTGATTGACAACTGAGTGACTGCAGCACGCTCCAAAATGGCGGGTATTGCAGGAGTAGAGGATTAAGGTCGGTCGAGGAAAGAGGGTGGATAAAAACAACTTCGGGCGAGACATACCATGTCCGGTGAATCAGGAAAGTACCGGGGTATGCAGAGCAAACTGGGAAACTTTCTCCACACATAGCGGGCGGGTTTTTAAACTGATACCACGCGACCGTACATTTTCCGCTACTACGTTACGAGCTATTTTGGTCTGAGATATACTTGTGCCAAAATGCATCCTTACACTTAGGCAGCTCGGATCAAGCCCAGAAAGACATCCCGGCATCCACAATGAGCGAGCGGCGAAATAGAATGCAGTATCCGTATCCATACAGCTACAGGAGCTGTGGTTAAGCAGTTGTCCTTGTGTGAGACGTAATTCATGGATCCCATGGTAGCGGTACGGAGCAAATGTAGTGACTAGGTGCATAATGTTGCCTCCCCCCCCTCCCCCAGGAATGTTCAACCGCGGTTGGCCGTTGCGCTGTAAGAGGGTTGTTGTGAGGGTTGTTTGTTTTTAAATCAGAATTCAGGATTCATCGGCACGTGATCCATCGAGGGCATCCAAAAACTAACAACCCTTGAAAGAGTCTGAGAAGTGTTTTCACGATGCTTGGAGGCTTACTGAAAAACACGCAGAGCATTGACACATCGAATTATCACTTTGCCCTTGCACAACTGCTCTCCATTTCCCGCATGTCTTACTGAAGTCTAGAACACAAGACCACTGGCCCATCCCGTTTTATCGCGTCTCATCCAAAGAAATGGCATGCAATCCACTTAACAAAACTGAGTTGGCATGCGTCGATTTGTGGTGCCAATAGCAGCGCTTCCTTGTGCCCTGCAACGTTTGAACTGGTTCGTTGAAACCATAAAGTACGATGAGCAAGCGTGGTGCACAACATATTTCACAGGGTTCCGCAAAGCAAAGCCGTGCGCGAAAACCGTTGCCGAAACCGTAAAGCCAGTTCAAAATAGAGCCACCCAGACCACGTTCCTGTTGACTTCCCTGTGCGGGTAACCTCACGCGGCGGCGCGCCCAAACAGAGATCAGGAAGGCGGGGATATCTGTGGTTTGCAGTATCTCGGTGGACAGAGCTCAGGAAGGCGGGGATATCTGTGGTTTGCAGTATCTCGGTGGCTAGGCGTCAGCAGGCATTCATGCTTTGTTTTCAGCAGAACTAGTTGCCATAGAAAAGGAACGTGTCAACCAATGCCTGCAGAGCGATGGAGTCATACAATGCATCTCAGATGTGGTAACTATGGCATTCTGCACAGTCACGCGCTTGCAGCGTTTTTGGCCGTCCTCATCCACGTTGCAAGGCGACCCGGTTTCTCCAGACTGTGACGAGTATATGTTGATGGCACACCCTGCCGAGCCAAGCCTAGAATAAACCAGCACTCTCTGCTATCTGAGCGGTTATCGAACAAACCTGGTGATGAGTTCTTATCATCCAAGTGTTCCTGTGCCGTCCAAATACGCTGTCATTTGCCCGCAAAGACCCAGCACGTGATGGCCCTTGTCGCGCCGAGCTTACCGCAGTTGGACACCACGCGCCACGAGGAATGGCCCAAATAGCTTCGCATTGGAAATACGTGCCTGGGATAGCAGAATCTGATCCAAGTTCGCACGAAATTATGATTCCTCTATTTCGCTGGCCCTGCTGGGTTTGACGTTCGTGGGACGCTGCCCCAGTCTTCCGCCTAGTGCTGGGTGGGATCGTAAGCCAGCAGGTGCATATCAGACCTTAGGCCAACAGCTCAGTGCACTACTTTGTGCCCCAAAAGAGCGTTGACAATGAGTGTGACGGGCATCAAGCCAGTCAAAATGCCTTGTGGCAGCAGGCGAGAAGGGAGGGGGGGGGGGGGGGGGGGGCAGCACCAGGCGGCTGCAGTAAAGGTGCCCTCACAACCATGGAAGCCTCCAGAACCGCTGTGCCAAGCGATGCGTGTCGATTACGCAGGATCATTGGAAGTCCTGCTGATCGTGGTAACTGTCTGCAGCAACCAACCCTTCGTCTGGATCATCAGCAGGGTCAACGCGCGGACGACCATAGAGCATCGACATATCACATTCGGCACGCATAAACGTCACGAACTCGTCAGCCACGACGGTGGCTGATGCGCTAGCAAAGAGTTTGGGGAGTTTGCCAGCGCCGACGGCATGCGCCATGTCTTCACTCTTCCGGCACACTCTGTCCAGTGAGCAAGCGGCGAGTCAGGCTAGTAATGAACGGAATCAAGAAGGATCATCCAACTTATTTGCTCACGAAAATCATTCTCTGAATTTTACAGCGTCCAAAAACTCCACGCAGCTCGAAAGGGAAGACGCCAGCAGAGATGCTGTTTCGACGAACACCGAGAAAGCACCTTACTCCCTTCTCCACCCGTCAGGGAAGTCAATGATCCGCAGAAGTGCAGAGGCAGGCGCTGCAAGCCGTTCCTACCGTACGGGGGTTCCAGTTTGTATTACAAAGGTCACCGACCCCGCCCATAAATGGCCTTCAGGCACGGTGCTGGACGTCTGTAGGCCGTCCCATCTTATCCTGCTGCAAGAAGACCGCCAGTTCCGCTAGTCCGATCACCTCCAGGTCGGGTGCGCGTCTGGTGACGACATTCTCTATGGTGATGCCAGACGCTTGGCACCCAGTGACCTGGCTACACAGCCGCTCCTGCCTGCGCCCAGCGACCCGCCCGCACCACCTGCTTCCGCGTGGAAGCCTCGATGCCCGCTTCAACTCTGTTGCCTCCCGCCAGCCTGGAGAATCCGGCCGTGCATGTGCCCCCATGGTCGAGGCCGCCGTTCCGATCCCCGGCCACGCGTAACCGCTCGGTAGCACGAGCTCCCGAGCCGTGCGTGAGTGGCCCCGCCGGCTAAACCGACCTTGCAACTGGCTGTTCTCCGGTGTTGCGTTCGCAACGCTTGCGTGCTGCCGCATCACTTCTCTTCCATGCGTTTTTGTTGCTTCGCATTGCTGTATTGTCCCGTTGACTTGCCGCCAGGCATTGAGGAGCTGTGTCATTCTACACAGTCACGCGCGTGTAGCGTTTTAGGCCGCCTCCACCCCATGGCTCGGGACTTCGGTTTTTCAGACCGTGACGAGCGTGCATGGATGCGACGCCCAAGCCACGCGCACCTGTCATGTCCTGTCGAGCCAAGTGTAGAACACACCATCTCTCTTGTTATCTGAGCAGATATGGATCTTGAACTAAACGCCACTGCACGCAGACGGCAAAGTTGATCTGATTCGAATGGAGGCAGACTAGCTGACTGGGAGAACACCGAGTAATTTGTTTTGTCCGTTTCATTCGTTTGGTAATGCCGCACGTGATAAGATGAGGCAATTTCCCACGATATAACTCGTAGTTTTCACGGTAAGTTTAACTCCTTCGTGGTTAGGCTACGGTGTGTTACATCTGAAACGCCTATAGCTCGTTGCCGAGATTTCCGCGCGTGCATAAAACCACTATTCACAAACTTAAAACAAAAGTCTGGCCACCCCGCTGACGGCGATGGTGGTTTTGTGTGCCACGCTCGCCCGTGCTGCGGGTGGCGATATGCTCTCCTCCCGGCCTCCCAACGTGGAGGGTGCGCATGTGAGCGGGCTAGAGAGGAGGGCCGGACGAGCGCGCTCTCCTCAGGCAATTCTGACTCGCCGTCACACAAACGCAACCGCGTCCTGAACAAGCTCGCTCTCCTTTGCGGTACGCGCGCCACTACGCGGCGGACTGGCGAACTTCGGCTGACGTGCCGGGCGCCAGGTGACGTCTGCATTCGGTTTCGGTCAGAGCCCTTCCGGTAATTAACACGCGTCCGGGTGACCGGGCAGATATCCTTCTCTCGGTTGGATGGGGGTCAATTTGACTCTCCTGAGATCTCAGGAACTAAGAGAGCTAGAAACACAAAATTTGCAGGGTGTGTTGGCCTGTACTTGAACTCTCTCAGGTAAAAGTTAAAGGTCCTGAGGTTATGACCTTCGGGTCAGATAACGTCAAACAAGGTAAATCTTTAGGCTGGTCTCCAAAATACCCCATAACCTAGGTACCTGTTAAAAGCAAGAGGCCACATGGTCGGCTAAGGTCGGTGGCTTTGTTTGACCTTTCGAAGGTCATGGTGACCAAAATCATACAAGACTTCTTTGAGTTTTACCTTTGAATAAGCGACAAAGATTACGCTACGTTCCGGTTTACGTTCTCCGGTTCGTTCTCCGGTTCGTTCCGGTTCCGATTACGGTACGTCACTAAAAACAAAATGTTGACCTGGGTCATTTCAGGTCAGTGACCTATCCTAACCTTTGAAAAGTCCATGGAGGATGTATAATGTGGTTCCTGTTATCAATAAATTCGAAAGAGAACCATTGCCAAGATCTCAGCTCTCATACCTGGCACAAAACCATTGAAACAACGGCGTAAAAGTCTTCGCAAGAGATGACGAAAGCAAATTGAATGTAAGTGCCGAATGTTACAAATTAGAACCACTGAGAGTCTTGATTTTATGTTTTACCTTCCATATGGGCCGGGTCGAATCAGGGTACCGTTCCAAAGCAATGCGTTTGTACAGTACCAATTTACTGAAGAGTGGGAGCCGAAAGTGTGGCTAACGGAGCCTTGGTGCGCAGGCTTGTCAAGAAAAATGGCCGGGGCCTCTGGGCCGGCGCAGGCAAGGCGCACGGTTGAAGTGCAGTTCAGTCGGGTGCCACACTGCGCTCAGATTTCTAGCATCTACGAAAGCGGACTGAGAGACGTGGAGTGAAACACCACACCACAATATTTACTGTTCCTTCCTCGTGGTCCAGTTTTATCGCTGATTTGTACTTACACGAGTGATGATCAGGCACCCAACCTCCATTTAGGGTTGACCTGGCGAACCAGGGTGACCTGAGGTCAGACTAACGAAGGAGCGGAGCGAAAGCTCAAAACTTTTGCTAAAGCCTACGTGCCTTGTGAAATGTTTTCTATGCATCAAGGAAAGATCATGAACGCCAATTTATGGCTCACGAGGTCAAGGTACGTCACGAACCCGCTTGGTTTTCCAGGTCACATGTGACCTCAGCCGGAGGGAAGTGACCCATGCCACCGGCGGTCAGCTCCATGCCAGGTCCAGCTCGGAGGCTGGGTGCTCGGGACCACCTAGGACTTATTGTTAAAATAATTTAATTTTCACGACGTGCCTTCAGAATTGTTTCTAAATATTACGTTGGCCGATTCGGGAACACGGAGAGCTCTTCAGTGCACCAAGCGGGTCACAAGCGGTCACCAACCTCGGATAATAGCGTGCGGTCTCTGGTGACCATGTCAGATGAGATTGTTGGCTTGGTGTGGAATTCGAATTCAGCATTGATGTTTGCCTTTGAAAATAAAGCGTAACAATGTCGGAGTAAAAAGGTCTGCCAGTAGAAATCGGTCTTGAGATTTTCGGAACCTTAAGCAGTGCGTGTTGTCGTCATGTTACCATAGCACGTGTCGTGGGTCGCCTTATTTGATCACATCAGTTCATATTACTATTCATTTCACTTTAATGCTAAAATCCCGTTAAAAGCGCTAATCTTTGCCAAGTCACAAAAATAGCAAACATATTACATAAAATCCGGTCATTTGCATTGCGTCTTCTTCCACATCTAACGAAGAATGAGGAATTTGTTATGTGCGATTATTTCTGAAAGTTTCACCCAAAATTTTTTTCTTCATTATTTTCATTGAATGTCAATTCACTTAAATATTAAACGCGTAAAGAAATCGGTGCTTGGCGTGTTTGACTTTCACCAGTCCAGGAGCCTCACATGATCCCGGACAACAATTTTGGCAGAAAGCTTCAAACGAATCGAGAAAAAGGTAATACAATTTCAGTCGGGTGTAACCATCGGTGTTACCCTCCTGTCCCTTCCGACTACCCTCTTACTATCCTAACTGCCCTCTCCCTCCCACGATGCAGTGAGAACCCAAGTCAAACTATGCCGCGAAAGCTGTCAAGCATGCGCTGCACTCCAGCTCTGCTGCATTGTCTGCCGCATGGCCTGGCCGAAGCTGCACGCACGGCCGTGTCAGGGTTGACACGCTAACCGTCGGCCTCTCAGTGTGTCACGCCCACCGATGAGCCGAGCGTGTCGAAACCGGGAGCGACACGCACTCGACGACCGGGTTGTCGAAACGACCCAGTCGCACGGAGACTCCAAACATCATGACCTCAATGGGAAGACACGTGATCGCAATACTATAAGCTGGAAGGGGCTGGACGATGGAATCTCACCGAGGGAGGATGGACCAACCTGCTGGGCCTGGTTTGGAGACTTGAGACCGATCCGGATGTCCTTATTGAGCGGAATATTCTCATTTCTCATCTCAATTGACCCGCGTAATCTCACCAGGGAGAGGAAGCAGAGCAGGCGGAGAGAGAATGTAACCTGTGTGGCGTCATTACGGGAGATGGCATGATCTTCGTGACCTCGCTGAGCGAGGCAAACTGACCTGTGTGACCCAGGGCGCCGGCACCGTCTGCACGCCGCGGGTGGCGTTGTAGTTCATGATGGTGTCGAGGATGAACGCTCCCTGCGCGTCTGGCCAGCCAGCCGGCTCCAGAATCTTGGCGTTGAGGAACTGGTGGATGAAGGCCATGGAGCCGGCGCCGCCGACCTCCTCCAGGTCGAAGGCGACGAACAGCAGGCTGAACTCGGGCCGGCAGCCGTTCTCCGAGAGCGCGCGCGCCGCCTCCAGCATGGCGGCCACACCAGAGCCGTTGTCGTCGAAGCCTGCGGGCAGCATTGCTGTGATCTGGACAACATCTAGTCTAGTCGAGCTACCTCGCCACGTTTGCGACTTCGTGACACTTGCCGTCGGCGTTGCTGCCATGTTTTTAGCTGGTTGCAAACCGAAGCACGACAGGCCGTCGTAAAATGTGCAATAATGAAAAGTGCGGTGAGGGAGCATGGAGCGATGAAATGTGGTGGGGCAGCTGGGGTTCTAAATATCATTCTGGGACATATATGTAGAATGACAGCAGGAACAAACCTGATACTTGGGTAAATGGCGTAGCGTTCCGCTGTGGACTGCGAGCCCAAGGTGGATACAGGTGGTGGTGGGGGGAAGGGGCACGGGTCGTTTGCCCCCTCTCTCAATCGCTCCGCCTTCCAATGACATGACATTAAGTACTTTTTACGAATCTGCACCATTTTCCAAAATGTTGAGTGCTCGATCATTTTTGTCTGGGTCGACCCCGGCTGACAGCTAAAACAGGAGTCGACATGGCAGTCGGGATCTGGAAGCTGGGAAGTTGACGTGACACTGCTCGAGTAACCGGCCGACCGGCGGTCACCGTTTAGTTATTTATCCGGATCTCGAAGAAGTCGGAGCTGTCTAGGAGGAAACGTTAGAGGAAGCCAGGCGATACATTTCGGTGTCTTTAGTTTGCGGAGGGTCTCTGGCATGCTTGTAGACATCGCGACAAAAATAAGGATGATCAAATACACATATGGCCTATTTTGTACTATTTTCTGGAGATGTTTGGTCCGGAAGTGTGATCCTTCAAGCAATCATGACAAGTAATGCGGATGAGAATGCGAGTTTGCGTGCGTTCGAAACGTGTTTGAGAAAAGGCAAAGCCATTACTGCCCGTAAAAGGTCTGAAGCCGAATGCTCTTCGTTCGTTTTTACTTGCGTCAGTTGTCTATCACCTTTTCGCTATTCGTTAGGATGCAATGCGTCACTTCTATTCTTAGCACAATGCAGCGGTGCGCGATTGAGTGTCCAAGTGACGTGACGGTGTAATGCCAGGAATAACCCGCCCACGACGTTACGAGCGCGTTTCTGGAAATGCTGGCTTATGTCTTAACGTCTGTGGTAACTACCAGGGTATCGTAACAGCCCATTACATGGTGCGAGTGGTCACCCCGAGCGGTCATAATGTCATCCCGGAACCTTCGGCTGATGGCCGATAGCGGTCAGTTCTCGGCTCGTTATCGGTTATAGGTGCGGGGGGCCGTTATTTCAGCTGCACTGCACGAGGCAATACTGCCCTGTTGCCTGGGTTGCACGCACAGTGTCGTTACCTGGACTGTGGGGCACAGTGTCGTTACCTAGACTGTGCAACACGGTGTGGTTGCCTGGACCGTGCAGCACAGTGTCGTTACCTGGAGTGTGCGGCAACACGTTGTTACCTGGGCTGTGCGGCACTGCGTCGTTGCCTGGACTGTGTGGCACAGTGTCGTTACTTGAACTGTATAACACGGTTTCATTACATGGACCTGCGGTGCGGTGTCGTTGCCTGGACTGTGTGGCACAATTTCCTAACCTGGACTGTGCGGCACGATTCCATTACCTGGACTGTGCGGCACGGTGTCGTAGTGGGCGCCGACGATGAGCATGCGGTCGCCCGCGGTGCCCCAGCGCCGCCCAGGAAGCACCCCCACCACGTTCACACCCATTGGCTCCTCCTGCTCCACCTTCACCTGTGAACGCGGCGAGAATTGTAATGAGGCGTCCCGTGTCCTGCACCGCCTGACGTCACTGAGAAGCCCGGGACCAGGTCCCTATGCGACTATAGTGGCGAGGCGTGACAAGCCACTCTGGGTCTCGTTGGATATATATATATATATATATATATATATATATATATATATATATATATATGTGTGTATACAACGCATATTTTTGCATATGCGTTATATATGCGTTGTATATAACGCATATTTTTGCATATGCGTTATATATGCGTTGTATATAACGCATATTTTTGCATATGCGTTATATATGCGTTGCATATATATATATATATATATATAAGTTATATAAACTATATTCTTATATGTAAGCATATACAACGCATATTTTTGCATCTATCTACACATATACTTATAACTTGCATGAGTGGCTAGATCTGAACGCACGGAGCTGAATGAAGAAAAAGTGCGTGTTGCATGTGCGTGTGTTACTACCATCAGTCTAATTCGTGGTTTTTGTTATGATATCAGTGCCACGTGAGCTTGAACGGAATCAGCTACATTCACCTGCTAACTCAGTTAATTACTCCTATGACATGATTTTTTATCTAAAAAATTCATCAAAGTCTTGGGCATGCCCACGATGAATGAACGGGTGGGCGGCGTGTTTGCTGACCGTCAGATCGAGCTGCTTCTGCTGTGGCTGGTCGCCTGTCAGCGCCAGCTCCAGCGCCCGCAGGTCCGTCGGCTTGAACTGGAACACGTGGTTCAGCGAGAGCAGGTTGTACGAGAAGAACTTGCGCGTGATGTACATCCGCACCGAGCTCTTCAGCGCTGTCAGGCACAGTGGAGGAGGAGAGCCGTGTGACGATGGTGTACTGACCTGACCCGCTGACCCACTGACCTGTCGTTCGCTACCACCGAGGTGCAAAACGGTTCAAGGCGTGCAATATCGGAACCACGCAGATGAAAAATTGGGAGAAATGTACGTCTGCAATGCCGACCAGCAAGAAAAGTGATCCACGGATTTAAGGGGAGTATACCAATTTTGGGGCACATTTCAAAAGCGTAATCTGATGGAACATCGAGACCAGTCCAGCCTGTCCAGTTCCAACGGATAATGGCACTGGGCAGTGTCACTGCAGAACCAACAAGGTCTACCAAGCAAAAACGTTTTAATTGTTTTTTAGGCGTAATTACGCAGTCACCGTTTCTGCACAACGCAACAAGCCACACAACAAGCCGCTTATTTGATTTCTGGAATGGGCTACCTTGATGTATACGAGACATCCAGGTACGTGCTCATAAAAGCCGCCGCGATTGTGCTCGGGGATTTCACATCGACCTCATTGAAGGTTGACATGAAAATCGGCACAACATAAAGCGAAACCACTCGCGAACACCAACACTTAAAGTTTTCAGGTCTCCGTTACCAGTTTTTCCAGTTTCCAGTTTCAGGTTCTTGGTATCTGAGCGGTGGCGTTTGGCAATCCACCATTTACTGGTGTGAATGACGTCTGTGCAAACGAACGTCTGTGATTTAAGCAGCGGACGGCATAAGTCATTTCGCGAAAAGTGCATTGGTGGAACTTTAAGCACGTGCGTTATTGGGTCAGGTGATGTTGCTGGTAAATATCTGTTTTGCACACACTGACCTACAACGAACTGAACATCCAAGAAAACAATGTTTTTCAGCCCAAAAATGCCCTTTGCAATAAGTAACTGAGCTTACCGTCATAGTTGAAAAATCAAAGTCATAATACAACGTTTCGTAGAGCCATCGTGACAACTGTCGGATATTCGTACCTCTTCTTGTCCAAATATTGTTCCAAACTCTAATGGTATCAACTGCATAATGCACAATCATTTTGACCAATTAGTGTGTTGTGCGCATTAAATCACACACATCGAAAAAAGCGAAGAAATTAGAGAAGATTCCTTTCAAAGTGGGGGTGTTCAATGACATTTTTCCCGTCGGAATGGCTGCTTCGAATATAAATGCTGAGCTATTCAGAAGAATTACAAGAAAACTGGTACGATCGTATTACCGACCAAATCGGAATCATCTCATTTAACTCTTAGCAAAAAGCACCATAAAAGGTATCATACACACCGTAATAAAAACATCTATACAACATTCAAGTAACATTGCCCATTGAAGCATGGTATCCGCAGGAGCTGTGGCGAATGAAAAAGAAATAAACAACTCATGTTATGATCAATATAACCTAAAATTTCAGAACATACGCACACCAATGCATGCCATCAAGTGGACACGGCAGGCACTTCCATCTTGAGCTGATATCCAGTTAGTTTACCATAATGGATCGCTTTTGAAGCATGAAAGACGTTTACCTGCATTGGGGAAAACCGACACTGGGCTGGCGGTTGTGAGTAGAAAAGGAATAAGCTCCATCCGAATGTCGGCTGTCGACCGAATCGACTGAATGGAAAGCCCGTTTTGGCATGAGCGCTAAAACGTCCACATTCCAGAAAACTGGCTTGCAGCGTCAGCAGCACATCTGCATGCGGCTTGCAGCCCATGCAGATGAGTGAAAAGCTGCAGCTGGTCCAGAGTAGAGCGTCACGCGTCACCCAACCGCAGGAGACGCCACTCGCCAGACACGGTGCCGTGAGGCCGCACGTTTGGGGGTGGTGGGTGGGGAGGGGGAAGACGGGGGAGGGTGCGGTCAGCGGCGTCAGTCCCGTCTACCTGCAGCTGCACGCACAGGTGATGAACGAAGGGGGGAAGGGCACCTCTCACCAGTATCAGTCTCGTCGGAGCGCACGTTCTGGAACACGTTCTCGAGCATGAGCTCCAGGTGTTGGCTGTTGACCCGCGGGTAGCGGCCACCCCTGGCTAGGCCGTTGTCCACCTGACCAGCAGAGTCGGGGAGCGGCTGGTTCACAGACGGCACACAAACATACCACCTGAAGGCCCGCCTGGCCGTTCGTCACACAGCTGGGCGTAATGTTAAGCGCGACATAATGCACTCACGTTAAAAATATTACAGACGATGGACAGTTTTCTCCAGCACAGCGCAAACAACCCAGTGAGTGGCAAGATGAACTTCAGTGGTAACGATCCAAGGTATGACGGAAATGCATTTTACAAGGCATTCACTCCATTATCAAGTTACGGCCTGCATGCATCGGGCACATGTTCGGCCCACATACACAGGGCACATACTCGGCCCACATACGTAGCACACATATTTGCGGTCGCTATATCCATCAATGCATCACTGTAGGTTTGATGTGCCTTCAGCGAACGATTAGAGATCAGAGACGTGGTGGGTCCAATGCATTGAATGACAATCTAAAAGGAATTATCGTGCAAAACATAGCTTGGGTGAGCAGTCCCGTCCAGTCCGCGCTTACCAAACACCTGGCTCCTGCCGAAGCTGAACCCTCGACCCCACCCACCTCTTACCAAACACCTGACTCCTGCCGAAGCTGAACCCTCGGCCCCACCCACCTCTTACCAAACTCCTGGCTCTTGGCGAAGCTGAACCCTCGGCCCCCCTCACCTCCTACCAAACTCCTGGCTCCTGCCGAAGCTGAACCCTCGACCCCACCCACCTCTTACCAGACTCCTGGCTCCTGTCGAAGCTGAACCCTCGACCCCACCCACCTCTTCCCAAACTTCTGGCTCCTACCGAAGCTGAACCCTCGACCTCTTACCACCCACCCACCTCTTACCAAACTTCTGGCTCCTGAACTTAGCTGAACCCCTGGTCCCACCCACCTCTTACCAAACTCCTGGCTCCTCTCGGCCCCACCCACCTCTTTGTACCGCTCCACTTCCTTGTTGTAGACGTTCCAGAGCAGGTCGTCCTGCGGAACCTGGTCCACGGGTATGGAGTGCACCGGCATCTTGCCTTCCTCGACAGAAGCCTGCAGAACCTGGCGGAGAACGTCACTGGCAGATCAGGGTCACGATGAGGATCAGATCTGTCTCGTAACAATCATATGATTGTCCCTTACATCTGTCACCAGTCTGTTACGACGTGGTAACGCTGGCGAAAACCTGATAACCCGGGATGATTTGGTGGCCTCCTCCTCGACACCCCCCCCCTCCCATCCGAGGGAGGTACGCGGTCGCAGTCTCACCTCGGTGATGTTCCTGGCGTCCACGGAGACCTTGCTGGTGGAGGACTTGGCCGCTTGCAGGAGCACATTCTTTTCCGTGCCGGGAAAGGTGAAAAACAGGTGCGCCCACACCTTCCGCACCAGGTCCGACCGCGGACCGTCCAGGTCCCCGACGTTCAGCGATTGGCTGTTAGGAGCCGGCATCCACGATCGCACCAGGGGAAGGCATCCTGTGGTGCAGTCATTGGCGCATCAGCCGAGCTTGTTGCACGCTTGAAACGAGTAGGTAAGCAAGCATAACAGCTTATCCTGAAACCGCGTACAGGTCCGAAATACAGTAGTTCTCATGGGCACGCGCAAACTTGATACGCACACGCACATGCATGTCGACAGGCGTTCGAACACGGAAGCGTGTTGCGAAGACGTCCGTTCAGGAGCATCTAATTCCTGTTCACTAAGGACTGGGAAACATACAGACTTCCCGCGTGTAGAAGCGTCTGTGGCTTTCGGAAGACTGTCGTCACGTTTGGACGCTGCGTTAAGCACTGAGCGCGGACATCGTGCTGACAGCGCCCCTAGTGGCGGACTTAAGCCCTATCTTTTTTGTGTACACGAGGTAGTCACATGCTTCCTTGAGTTAAAAACGACGGTGGTATGCTAAATTAACTAAAGCACCTTCTTTATATCTCCGTCAACAACTATAAAGAAATATGCATTTTGTACGTATATTCGCTTTGCGATACCGACACATATCGTCCAGGTGAGCCGAAAACTCGACCCTGAAGCATTTTGCGGCGTGCAACGCTTTAAATCGATTAGAGCAGCAGTGTCCACCATGAACAGTTAAGCCAAGATTCAGGAGAAGCGTTTCGTTCAACCAGAATAGGCTTTTGGAAGAAAACTGGCTCCGCATTAGATAACTACAAGTTTGACGTGTATCTTCCCAAAAAGGCAAACCGTGAAATGACATTTAAACAAAATGTGGTGGGTCAGGGAAATTGCCCACGTTGCACGCACACCTAGGCAACTGCGTTGCGATCTGTTAGTGAGACATCTGGGGCATCAAGGTTAGGCATCTGGGACTGAGACATCTGGGACATCGAAACACATTAGCGGACCACGTCCCGCCCAGATGTCCGTGTAATGGAATGGCTCAGACCTATTCGTCATCGCCAGTATAGTACATGCTAAGATTTCCACCGTGTCTGAAACCGAGGAATGGCTCTGGGCGTTTTCCTCCCGTCTGAGACGCAAAAAGCCCCGTGGGTCAGGCACTGGAACAAGTAACGAGCGATGCGCCTTTTATTGACAAGGCGTCGTTTCGCTGGCTCTGTCCCGGTGCATTCGAAAGTATTCATTGTTTAACGCGTGAAACGGTCATGCCGCCGACTCGTCATTGTTAGGCCGTGCGGGACCTCACCTATTGTCAGCAGCAGCGCCGTCCGCGCGTGTCCGACCATTTCGACTGAGCACCGCCGGCCGGCTATCGGCTGTCGGGGACAAGTCTATTCGTTGCGCCTGTCCTGTTGCTACGGACCGACTGCCGGGCAAGGAGCAGGAGCATCAACGACCTGGGGTCATAGCTTCAGGGGGTGCAATGACGGTGGTCCACACGTCTGCGTACAGACGTGCGCTCAGTGCCACACCAATCACTCGTTGAACGAAATTCTCGAAAGACCGTTATTTGCCAGAGACAAAAGCCAACGAGGCAGCAATGACGGTCGTTGCACATGGCCATCGCACTCAGCAAACACGAACATCTCCCAGCGAAGCGCCCAAGGCAAGTCCGCGGCCGCGGCCGCCGCCAACCCACCGCCAGCGGTCCGCCGTCGCCAGCCGCGGCGGCGCCGGAGCGCGCCGGCGGCTGCCCACCTGTGTCCGTTGACGGCTGTCCCTCCGCTGGCCGCCGGTCACTGTCTGCCCGGGCCGGGGCGACCACCCGCCGGCGTGCCCTCTCGCCGGGCTTGGGCCGGCCTCAAGTGCAAGGCCGCGCCGCCGCCGCCGGCCACGCCGGCACGCTCGGCACGGTGAAAGTGGAGGAGCGCGCCGTGCTTCGTCTAAAACGAAAGGCGCGTTTTCCGGTTAGGCGCGGTGGGCGCTGGGTCAGCGCGCGCGCGGTCGTGCCCGAGACCGCCGCCCCCGCTTGTTGATGTGCAGATGGGTCGGAAGTGGACGCAGGGTACTCGAGAGGAGGGGAGTAGCACGGAGTTCCGGTGTAGGTGCTGCTCGCGGAAGCAGGAAGCGCCTTTCATTATTCCATCGCGACGGGATGCTGAGGTTCCAGGAGATAATTCCGATTCAGCGAAATACCTCCCGACTCCGACTTGCGACGTGTATAGGTATTTATATAGGTATTATTCCGGCTCTAAATCAGTGCAGTACAGCACACCGTTCAGCCGATTCTTACTGAAGGGACAGCGGCTCAATTCTGGAATCAGGTGTAGTGGGGCCGATTCCGACAATGACATTTCCATTGTCCTCTTAAAAGTTTTCGTAGAACACTTTGTTTGGTAGCAAGACACTTATCTCCGACTACGCTTCTTCAGGTCCAGACATAAGCTGTCATATAACTGTACGATGTCAAACAAATTGATCTTTAAGCCGATTCACGGATGATTTAGTTGACCCGACTCTGACTCTGATCCACACCGAGTACTCGAAGGAATCTGCTCCATTCTAACCAAGCGAACATTCCGGTTATTACGGAATCGCCTCCGACTCCACTCTGAGTCAAGCGCAAGTCCGCCAGGGAAGCGGCGAGATTGGATAGAAAGGATCATTACGAGTGACATCATCCTTATTGCTTATCAGCTATTAAGCGTCTTCTCTGTGCGGGTTACGTTTCATTGAGGACGGTAACAGACTTTCATCAAGGTCCCTGAGTTACGAAAGAAGCCTCAGAGTTTGCCCAGCTCACCAGAAGACGGTCCCAGGAAAAGTGCGGAGTGAAATGTCTGTGCCTGCAGTCGTGTCCTAATCGGAGCCCACACTGCGAGACGTAACCCACACGTGCCTGTTGAGCTCCGCACACGTGCCTGTTGACCCTTCGGGTGGCGTGCGCCGCCGGCTGTTTGCGGTCCACGCTCGTCAGCCTGGCTGGTCACCCTGCTCACGCGGCTCGTCAGCCTGGCTGGTCACGTTGCTCACGCGGCTCGTCAGCCTGGCTGGTCACGCTGCTCACGCGGCTCGTCAGCCTGGCTGGTCACGCTGCTCACGCGGCTCGTCAGCCTGGCTGGTCACCCTGCTCACGCGGCTCGTCAGCCTGGCTGGTCACCCTGCTCACGCGGCTCGGCAGCCTGGTTGGTCACCCTGGTCAGCCTGGCCCATCAGCTTGGTCAGCCTGGCTTGTCAGCCTGGCTGATCACCCTGGTCAGCCTGGCTCATCAGCCTGCTCAGCCTAGCTCGTCAGCCTGGTCAGTCTGGCCCGTCAGCCTGGCTTGTTAGCCTGGCTCATCACCCTGGTCACGCGGTTCATCAGCATGGCTGGTCAGCCTGGTCAGCCTGGGTCGTCAGCCTGGGTCGTCAGCCTGGCTCGTCGCCCAGGTCAGCCTGGCCCGTCAGCCTGGTCAGCCTGGCCCGTGAGCCTGGCGCGTCAGCCTGCCCATGCTCCAAGCCGTCCGGTCCCGCGCCGCCTGGGAGCGGCCCTCCGACCGGCGCGTGGGAGAGGACGACGGACGAGTCATGCCCCGGTGAATGTGATCCGGTACTCAGTACACGGGCAACGCCCAGGGCGACTCGAGCGACCAGGCCCGCGGCGAGTGCGAAACCGTGGACGTGATGCAACCGCGTTGCTGTACTGGGGTGGGGCGGAGGCACGCCGTAATGGGGTGATGGTTGACTATGGGTGACTAGCGGCTTGAGTCACCGGCTGCAGACGTCAGCGATTGTGGTGTGATGGTTGATGGCTGGCGGAGTGACAGTCACCGGCTGCGGACGTCAGCGGTTGTGGTGTGATGGTTGATGGCTGGCAGCGTGAGTCACCGGCTGTGGACGTCAGCGATTGTGATGTGAGGGATGATGGCTGGCGGCGTGACAGTCACCGGCTGCGGACGTCAGCGGTTGTGGTGTGATGGTTGATGGCTGGCGGCGTGACAGTCACCGGCTGCGGACGTCACCGGTTGTGGTGTGATGGTTGATGGCTGGCGGCGTGACAGTCACCGGCTGCGGACGTCAGCGATTGTGGTGTGATGGTTGATGGCTGGCGGCGTGACAGTCACCGGCTGCGGACGTCAGCGATTGTGGTGTGATGGTTGATGGTTGGCGGCGTGACAGTCACCGGCTGCGGACGTCAGCGACTGTGGTGTGATGGTTGATGGCTGGCGGCGTGACAGTCACCGGCTGCGGACGTCAGCGATTGTGGTGTGATGGTTGATGGCTGGCGGCGTGACAGTCACCGGCTGCGGACGTCAGCGATTGTGGTGTGACGGTTGATGACTGGCGGCGTGACAGTCACCGGCTGCGGACGTCAGCGATTGTGGTGCGACTGACGTCGATTGGTGGCCTCATAATGGATGGTGCATGCTGCTGGGATCGAGACTTGCGCTGGAAAGGTCAGCAAACACCGCGGATGGGACGGAACGTTGGACTGATTATCACGCAGATTATCAGGTGGAAGAATCGGAGCTTGAAAGTTTACCAACTGGAAAGGTCTTTGCAGACTTGTGACCTTGGGGCACTTCCATTTCACCACAGCAAGATGAGTTAATTGCTATGAGGCGGTCTTCAGCCGGGGACGTTATTCATCGCATTTGATTGCGGGAAAGCGACGAAACCGTTCACTTTCCCATCTAGCCCACTGACATATTTCGTGGTCAGTGACCTCCCACCCTACCTCAGCCCGCCCCACCTCCACCTAAGCCCATCCTGTCATGCAAAGCAATCGGAATCTAGTGCAAAACAATAAATTTTGGGGCCGGTGAGATTTGCGTTTATCGTTGGCTGCCTAGATGACGGGTTTGGAAAGCTGGCATCCAGTAGTGGCAATACGGCAGCGCACATCTTGCGCACGCTTGTCACCAACAACAATGTGAGCCTTCTGAGCGGGAAGAGCAGTAAGGTACGTGTTCCATTTTTAGCGTATTTCGGCGGCAGGAAGCGAAGCTTTGCACGCATCATGTGACCACGCGGCTTTTTATTTTATGCTCGCTGTCACGTTTCTAAGGCTCATTTCATGGGCACATACAGTGGAATGAAAGCCGATGGCCATGCATATTCTGGCCATGCCAGAATATGGCTTGGCCATGGCCATGCATATTCATGCTGATGGCCGTTGGCTGCCTAGATGACGGGTTTGGAAAGCTGGCATCCAGTAGTGGCAATACGGCAGCGCACATCTTGCGCACGCTTGTCACCAACAACAATTTGAGCCTTCTGAGCGGGAAGGGCAGTAACGTACGTGTTTCATTTTTAGCGTACTTCGGCGGCAGGAAGCGAAGCTTTGCACGCATCATGTGACCACGCGGCTTTTTATTTTATGCTTGCTGTCACGTTTCTAAGACTCATTTCATGGGCACAAACAGTGGAATGAAAGCTGACGGCCATGCATATTCCAGACGTTTAAACGCTGCGATCCTGACCGGTCTAAGTGCTTTCACCATGCAAGGTGAAATAATTCACTTAGCGCTGTGCTTTTATGATCGCTTCACCGGCCGGCGGGAATGATATCGGAATGGGAATTATTCGAGGAATGCTTCCTAATGTTTCGCACTTTCAACCCAGATACCCAAATCATTCTTAGAGACAAACGGGCATCAAAAGACACCACAACTGGACCGACATTAAAAGACTGTGGTCCGTTCTCGTTCTCTGTCAGTTCTCGTGCCACGGACAATGGTCTCGGGTGGTCGCGGACCCGGTCAGCTCCCTCTTCCGGCGGGACCGGCACGGCTGGCGAATTACTGTCGATCTGCGACATTCGGAACAGTGCAGCAGACATGCCGGGCTGCATTCTCCCGCCTGGATCACCGCAGGCTCCGGCGCCGTCCGATTGGATGGTGTCGTTAAACTGGCTTATGCTAAACCAGTCTGCAGTCGCCCGCTTTCTCGCCGTTACCGGCGGCCCGCACCGCGTTGGGCTATCTCGATGCCCGACGCAGAATACAGGCAGCTTCGAACCAGCCAGCGGGGTGCTCAGGCTTGCCGAGCTGCGTTTTGCAACAAAGGAAATGATCCTTGGCAATCCGTGTGCATCGCGGAAACGCCTGCACGCCCGGAACATGGAGAACGTGCAGCGAGACGGTGGGCGTGTGAAGTGCAACATGTTGCATGAGCGACGTAACTTTGCGTGCTCACAGAATGTTTCATTTCACCCTGATTAATTTAAGTCACTGGCAATGCAACTGAGCGTGCTTATTTGCCTAAAACCATTAGCCTCTGATCCTGGGACCATCATTGCTGTTGTTACAATTGGTATGTGGTATTGAACGTACGTCATCGTAATTACAATGGCTAGGAAATGCGCGGACACTGGGGAAACTGTCGCTGGGACATTTGTATCGTTAAAATCCATGCAAGGCAGGGACACATGGATCA